GGCGCCTTAGACAACTGGGCCATCCGTGACCCCCTTTGAAACAGTGAATAGTCGTCTCCACGTGACAAAGATCGCTAACATTGTCGCTGGTCAAGATGATCACTGGAATTTGAGCCTGGGAAAGCATCCTATACTCTGCGGGGGCACGGGTGGCCCAGTCGTCTAAGGCGCCGCGATTCGCTGTGCAGAGTTGCGTCCCTGGACACGCCAGAAACCTATGATTGTGGGTTCGAATCCTGGTTCGCCCCGATTATGTTTCTAGGTTTGTCAGCACCATACCCGTGCTCGTGGGTTTCACCGAAGTGGTAAACGTCTGAGACCTGCATCACTTCGGGCTTTCCTCCCACATTAAGCTGACACGCCGCGATATAACTGGAATAATGTTAAAAGCGGCGTTAAACCCAACTCACTCACTCACTCACTCACTCCTATACTCTGCTCTTCCGGATTGTCATTAGCAGCATCCGAGACCAGACAACAAGTGTAGCGATTGGTTTATGTGCAGTTATCTTGTTTCTTGTACATGACGCTGAACAACGGCGACTTGAGGAAGCAAGCCGACAACGAAGGGCAAATGTTTATTGAGTAAACTGTGGAGCTTGCTCGTTTCCTAGAAATGTGTGTTTACTTTTGTTTCACCTTTTAAAAGATTATTTGGATCCTCTGGCAGTTGTGATCGCTTCTGTTTTTGTTTAATGTGAGCTTAATCGAAACCACGCAATTAAATATCAAAAACGGGTTATAGTGGAGGATACATTTGTCATTCCTGTTCTTGAGTTAAATTTTAGCCATCAATCTACACAGCAGAATTTGCCATGATGATATGATGATGATGATGATGATGATGGTGAGGTGGTGAGGTGAAATTGAGTTTAACGTCGCGTCCAAGATTTTTGCACTTATATAGCGACGTGCATGCACGTGTATGTGTGTGTGTGGCTGCTTGTACCAGTCCGGACTGATGCCGATTTATAGTGCTAGCTCACTGAGATACCATGCCGCAGTTTAACATGAATACCCCACTCAGACACAGTATACTGACTCCGAGCCGACCAGTCCTTGTTTTAGCCCCTTAATGCCGAGCGCCAGACAGGGTAACAACAAGTACAATCTTTTAACGTCTTTTTGTATGACGCGGCCCGGGATCGAACCCTGGACCTTCCGCTCTCCGGGCGGACGCTCTACCACAAGACCACGGAGGCGGTCTGATGATGATGATGATGATGATGATGATGATGATGTAATATTAAATCAAACAGTTTATAACAAATACCTATCTGTAGTTATAAGCGTTAAAAAACTGAATGTAGATTCACTGACATTCTTAATGTACGTCAGCCTCTTCTGTCATTGGAGGACGTGATCAGAATTCCCTATGCATAGTTACGTCCCTTACTTAAGTCAGGAGCTACTAGTCGTGGGTTTGATGAAACGTAGATGGTCTTGAAGATGAGGGTGACATGGCTGGGTCTTTCAGATAGAAAGGTATAAGGACCAGTCATCCGTGGCGCTGAGGGGCTGGATAAATGTGAGTGAGTGAGTTGGGCTTAACGCCGCTTTTAACAGTATTCCAGTCATATCACGCCGTATCAGCTTAATGTGGGAGGAAAGCCCGAAGTGATGCAGGTCTCAGACGTTTACCACTTCGGTGAAACCCACAAGCACGGGTATGGTGCTGACAAACCTAGAAACGTAATCGGGGTGAACCGGGATTCGAACCCACAAACATAGATTTCTGGCCTGCCCAAGGGACGCAACTCTGCACATGGAGTGAGTGAGTGAGTATGGTTTTACGCCGCTTTTTGCAATATTCCAGCAATATCACGGCGGGGGACACCAGAAATGTGCACAGGGAAGAGGTGAGGTGAAATTGGGTTTAACGTCGCACTCAAGATTATTGCACTTACATACACGTGTGTGTGTCCGGATAGGTTATACCGGTTTTATAGTGCTAGCCCTCTGAGCATTAGTGAGTGAGTTGGGTTTAACGCCGCTTTTATGAATGTCAGGTTAATGTGGAAAGAAAGACCGAGAACGTTTGTTTGTTTGTTGTTTAACGCCGCAGTCAGCAATATTCCAGCCGTATGCGTCTGTCTGTAAATAATCGAGACTGGGAAGGTTTATGTTGGAACAAATGAATGTTATTTTACACCGCAGTCAGCTGTAAATAACAGACTCTGGGTTGGGTAGAGAGCAGCAACCAACAACGATTGCATATGATCACAGTGTGATATGATCCCCTTGAGTAACACACGATTCACAACATAAATAACCTTTCATGAAATTGGAAATTACTCGATTATCCAAATCCAATCTTCAAGTATCCTTTCTTAACACTGAAAACACAAATTGTTATCTCCCAATTCACGACGTTACAAGACGATTGACGAATAGTCATTATCCAATATGACTAAATACATAACCTTTGCGCATCACTCGGGTTACAGTATAAACACGCTTGAAACGATTGCACGTCTGACCTGTGCCAAACACACAGCAAAAAAACACTTTGCAAATGAAACTCCATTAATACCTTGACGGATCAACACAACGGCATGCTTATTTTAGTTCCTTACGAGAAGTAAACACGGGTACCATTGATTTCGTTCTTAAAAAAGATATTAGATTTTTTCATTCTGTAACGTGATCTTGGTATAATACCTTTAAAAGCAGAAATGATCAACTTGAAATATTAATCGCTGGTCGATCATATTTTTTCCAAGGGCTGCAACGTTTGAACTGATCGAGCAATTGCCAATAGAAACATAAACCATATTTTTAAATCACTCTTGTTTAAAAACCACGAAGATAGACGCGTGAAGTAAAATATTTTGGAAAGATCAAAATCTCATCGAAATCAACATTTAAAATGGCAGTCATACAGCATCCGATATTGGCATGACAGTTGCCCGAATTGAGGTGGGGTAGCAAGAACTAGCTTTCAAGGTAATGGACAAAGGGCACGCACATCTAAAATCGGTGATGTTCATTGACACGTCACGTTGATAGCGTGTATGACCACTCCCTGCTACAAGACACGCAAACACTCTTCGGCGCACAGAAAAAGTCACACGTCTGATGACGATACGTGGGATATGTCGCCAATCTCCTTGGAGGGCCTGGATCAGTTCTTGTCGGCTGGCTGGAGAATGTGGTCGTTGTCGAACACGTCGATCCATGCCATCACAGAGGTGTTCTATGGGGAACATATCTAGGGAGCGTGTAGGCCACGGCAACACGTTAACGTTGTGGGCTGCAAGGTTCTGTACGATTCGGGCTGTATGGCATATGACGTTGTCATGCTGATAAAAGACACGTGGCAGCTCTTGTAGAAATGGTGGGACAATCGGCCGAAGAATGTCATCCATGTAACACTGAGCTGCCAAACTTTCGTTAACAATCATGATGTTCTCTCCTGCCCACAAATTCCAATTCACACCATAACACCCCTCCACCATGCGGTTCGACCTCCAGAATGTAACATACCGCCGTTCGTTCTCCCCTGTCTTCCATCAGCTCCATCAGAACAGACAGAACCGGTTTTAATCAGTGAAGACGACCCTGTCAGTCACGTCTCTGCCAACGACATACAGTCCGGGCCCATCTCAATCTCTGACGACGATGTTGTGCTGTCAATAACTGTCCTCTGCAAGGCATGTAAGCCCTAATTCCTTGAGCCCCGAATTGATTGGCCATTTTCTATCGACTAACTATATGCCCAGATGCATTCGTCGCTGATCAGGTCACTGTCAGGAATCTATTCCGGAGATTCAAAGTACGCAAGTAGCGGTCTTCATTGTGCGTAGTTACCCTGAGTGTGCCTGTTCTTGGTCTGTCTGATGTCTGCCCGGCCTCTCTGTAACGTTTCATCAGGTTAGCTACAGCAACACGAGAGCAAGCAAAGGTTCAAGCAACGTGGGCATGAGTGGCTCCCATCTTTATCATTCCCAGGGCCATTTCTTGGTGTTCGGGTCCCAGTCGGGGTATTTCTGTGGTGGGTTTTTATTTTCAGTGTGGTGTTCGGGTCCCAGTCGTGGTATTACTGTGGTGGGTTTTTATTTTCAGTGTGAGTGTCTGGCATGCCGCACGTATCATATATATATACCCTTATTGCACGTGTAGTTTCGACTACCCAAGTGGCACGTTTGTTTCATTTTTTTCGCATTGTCTAAAAAATGTGCCGTGGGTGTGTATCACTTGTCATTGTTATGTTTGGACGATATGTTTTGCATTGATTTAGTTTGCACTTATGTTTTAAAATTTTTGCATTAAATTTTAAAGTGGTAAAATTCCTTTTGGACATCAGTTATTTTTTCATTCCACAACTAAAGAGTATTTTATAATACTTTATAATATCTTTATTACGAACAGTTGGAGATTGATACTTTCTATATACAGTCTTGTCCTCTCTTTGGGGTATAGAGATTGACTAAATTACTCTTCTCTAAAATTGTCCTAAACGATGTTCAATATTTGTATGTATTCCTTTAAAATAAGGGTGCGTTTCACAAATCGACCTTAACTGCATTGATCGAAAGTCCGTTATATTATGTGAGGTACATGTATGTTCACCGTTGCGCCAATGTCTCTTTGTGGAACTGCACCCTAGTCAACTTGTTAGCGTACAGACACGCAGACTTGCTGAGTTTCTTATAAATATTCGATCTTGTATATTTCAAATAAAGCTTTTATAATCCTTGTCCGGTTGGGTCTATTACGTTTCATGACGTTTACACTTCTCCCCACTCATTGGACCCCACGGAAACCCACGTTTGTCCTAAGAGGTGACTAACGGGATCGGGTGGTCAGGCTCGCTGACTTGGTTGATGCATGTCATTGTATTCCAATTGCGAAGATCGATGTACATGAGGTCAGTCACAGGATTGTCTGGTCCAGACTCGATTATTTACACACCGTCTTCATATAGCTGGAATATTGCTTAGTGCAGCGTTAAACAACAAATAAACAAAACCAAAAGTCAATTATGTTTTCCATTCCAGGCCATCTTCATCGCCCTGATTCCAATGCTTGCAGTAGCAGGTAGGTGATGTGTTTACCGTCGTGGATCCCAACTGTTTAATGGCGTAACGTGAAAAAAAACATGAATATTAGTGTATGATTTACATCAATAAAATCACTGTTCCATTTATAAACACAGACATTACATATTTTATTAATAGAGAAAGAGAGAATGAAAACAAATCTTTTGTATTACATATATAATAGCTTCATCATCTGTAACAACATGCTCTGCATTGACGTATAACAGTAGGTCTACACAAACAGGTATGTCGTGAACGATATTGTCATGTATATGAATATAGGTATAGTCATGTATGAATTAGCTTATTGTGTTAGAATACATACACTAATAATACGAGTCACATTTCCCACATACCAAAAATACGGATCATTAGACTACCTAAAATAGGGAGAAAATATAGTGATTATTAATTTAATGACATCATTATTTGTGGTAGTTGCGAATTTGCCTCTGACCTTTATAGTCTTGGGTCCAATGCATCTCCATGCATCTAAAGTAAAAAATTAGGTTTTTAAAAGAAGCTTGATCCATTTTACGAACAGGTGGGTCATGTTTGGTATCCCCTCCCTCCACCCCCCCCCCCCCCCCCCCTCCCCCCACCCCCCACCCCCACCCCCACCCACCTTCTTCAAATTATGGCTTTACGGTCGCCTCCAAGAGTGGGAGAGATATGACAACCGGTGTTTGGAGAAAAGGTACAGATAATCGACGTCAGGATTGTGAGAATATGCGGGAAATACCAAACTTAACCCACCTGTTCGTAAAATTGGTTTGTCAGACATTTTCGAGGCCGGATTCTATTGAGGGAGTCATCATTATTAAAATCTGAGTAAATATTTTTAAAGCTTGTACATTTTATCAACATCCTTTAAGAGGCTTTACATAATGTTGACATGTTATATGTCTTTTAAGGAACGTGTATTTAAAGTTTTTAAAAAAGTCTAATTCGAATTGGCCTTGACAGACCTATGCTTGTCGTAAGTGGCGAAAAACGGGATCGGGCTGTAGGGCCCGCTGATTTGGTTGATAGATGTCATCGTATCACAATTGCGTCGATCGATGCTCGAGGTGTCAATTACTGGATTGTCTGGTCCAGACTCGAGTATTTACAGACCGCCTTCACATAGCTTGAATTTCGAACTAAACGTCAAATGAACAGACAAACTAAAGAATATTCCATAAAGTACTGTGACGATCATGTAATTGTTTTTCAGGACAAACTATGCCAAGTCAGTACGGGCGGGAGTTTGTCGTCATCTTCACGAAAGGTCTCAACCAGCAAGGAGGAACCCTCAAATTGATGATCGCGGCCCTCACGAACGCTGACGTGACCATCACCAATTCCTTATACAGTATCAACACTACATTATCCATCCCTGGCGGTGAGTCAAGGACCACTACTCTGACCAACCACATTGCAATGGCGGCTTTGCTGGTCATAGAAAAACGAGGCGTCCTTGTTCAAGCCACCGCGGAGGTCTCTGTCTACGCCTACAACTTCGGTGGTTACTCATCTTACTGCTTCAACGTCTTGCCCGTCCCTGTCCTTGGTCACCGGCATTATCTGGCGTCGTTCGGGTACGTTAAGAATACAGATATACCAACATTTGGTGTAGTAGCAGCAGAGGATAATACGGTTGTGTCATTCAAGTTCCAGCTCACGTTGAACGGCGAGTGTGGTACAGTTCTTGGCGACCTTCTGGACGATGGTTATGTCTACAACATCACACTTAATCAGCATGAAGTGTTTGAAGCCAGCTGCACTGGAGATCCTACGGGGACTTTGGTATCAAGCAGCAAACCGTTAGGGGTTGTGTCTGGGCATCTTGGTAGTTTTGTTCCTGTCAACGTAGGCGGGAGAGACACCTTTGCAGAAATGATACCCCCGACGGATTTGTTTGGCCAAAGGTACGTACTTCATGGGCCAGGTAGAGATAGGGAAGCTGTGTTTCGTGTTCTAGCATCAGAGGATGACACAAACATAACCACGTCCGAGGGAGACGTTCACGTTTTGATGGAAGGACAATTCTGGGAAGTAGATCTCGAATTAAACAGAACCCTGTGCATACATGCGTCTGGCCCTGTGATGGTCTTGATGTACGGGAAGGGGGCTACAGGAGGGCCCAGCAACCTAGGAGACCCCTTCATGATTGTTGTACCCCCTGTTGAAAGATTTACCGAGGGTTTCACCACGGACCTTTCGGTTTTGGATGGAAAGAACTTTAAGACACATGTGACTTTGGTCGTGAAGACAGCCTATGCAGACACACTGCCAGCGGATTATGACACCGATGGTGTGCCATCATGTCGGTATTCGGTTGCAAGGGGATCTGTGACCGCTGGGACGCTGAGCTTTGGCCTTGGGCCCGGAATTCCCTATGCAGCATTGGTGTACTCCTATTCTCATTTTGAAGGGAATGGCATGTCCATGGGAATTGCTAGACAGGCCAATGGCTGTAAGTGTTGTTTCCTTACAAAATATTCATATCCTAAAAAAACTAAACTTTGTGACTCCAAAATCAGCGTCCACAAACTTTGTTTTTAAAAAGCATTTATGTAGATATTGAACATGTAGTAGAAGCAACAAACGCCTTTAATAATCACAAGAAATGAGCCCATTCTACGATTCCGACTCTATCATAAGCATGGGTTAATGAGTGAGTGATTATGGTTTTACGCCGATTTTAGCAATATTCCAGCAATATCACGTTGGGGGACACCAGAAATGGGCTTCACTGTTTGTACGTTGGGTACCGAACCCGGGTCTTTAACGCTTTAAACACTAGGCTACCACTCAGCCCCGCATGTGTTAATGAATCACTATCAAATATTGATGACACCAGGTGTTCGCAAAAAAGGTGAGTGAGTGAGTTGGGTTTAACGCCACTTTTAACAGTATTCCAGTTATATCACGGCGTGTCAGCTTCATGTGGGAGGAAAGCCCGAAGTGATACAGGTCTTAGACGTTTTCCACTTCGGTGAAACCCACGAGCACTGGTATGGTGCTGACAAACCTAGAAACATAATCGGGGCGAACCGGGATTCGAATCCACAATCATAGGTTTCTGGCGTGCCCAAGGGACGCAACTCTGCACAGCGAATCGCGGCGCTTTAGACGACTGGGCCACCCGTGCCCCCCGCAAAAAGGTGAGCGTATTCTGCTCCACGGGTGCACCCGGCTCAATCTCGTGTTTAGGGGGTCAGTTGTTCACAGACTGTCAAGGGAACATATGTTACAAGGCAAAATAGGAAACTGCAATATTGCATCATATTTGTCACTGATGCGTCAAATTTGGAAATGTCCCCCACGTGTCTACCATACAACTGTTTGAAAGCTTTACTGACTCCTTAAATGTTATAGGGGGCACGGGTGGCCCAGTCGTCTAAGGCGCCGCGATTCGCGATTCGCTGTGCAAAGTTGCGTCCCTTGGGCACGCCAGAAACCTATGATTGTGGGTTCGAATCCAGGTTCGCCCCAATTATGTTTCTAGGTTTGTCAGCACCATACCCATGGTCGTGGGTTTCACCGAAGTGGAAAACGTCTAAGACCTGCATCACTCACTCACTTAAATGTCATATGGCCTTTTCAATCAAGTTTTAAATTGAGTCGAATGACGCTCTTTGAAATTTTCGTAGAAAAATGCTCGATTGTACGTCGAAAGTTGTGACATGTTGACACTAAAGTCTGGAGCTGCTGGAATATTCCTCGACACAAAGACACAGTTGACTATTGTTAAGTTGAAGTCATCCGTCTTGTTATACTGTCTAGGGGATAGTGTTTTTTTCTCTCTGAATCTTTATACGTTAATAATACTGTCAGCACCATACCCGTGTTCGTTGGTTTCACCGAAGCGGTAAACGTCTGAGACCTGCATCACTTCGGGCTTTCCTCCCACATTAAGCTGACACGCCGTGATAATACTGTTAAAAGCGACATTAAACCAAACTCGCTTACTCACTCACTCACTAAATACAAAACTGATTAGGCGTTTTCTCTGGTCTCCCCTACGTCTAGCTCATGTGTGTATAGCGGTGGTAGGGAATTGGCTATTGGGACATTATTGAACGATAGCTGATCATATAAATAATGCTATAAGCATCACCATGACAACCATTATTTAAAAATACAAAAGCTGTCAACTAAATCAAGGACCTGCCAAACTTCAACAGAGGCGGTGTATAATCGATTGTAGGATTACTTAAATATTTATGGAGCAACTTCTGAGGGATATCTATAATAATTGTTAACTGTTGTTGTATAACGCTTGCGTTATCCATTCTGAGACTCAGATTGTATCTTATAACCCCTGAGGGGATTCCAGGGTTTAATAGGTACCTATGTTTATCGTATGAACGACTGAATGGATGAAGTAGTCAGACACGGTGACAGTGTACCCCGGCAGCGCGGACCGTTTCTCACAATACCCGGATTGTCTTATTTTTTTCAGTAGTCATAATGGGAATAGTCATAAAGGAATAAACCTGCGCATGCATAATCATATATAGATGCATGTTTTCCTTGACAGATTCACATGCATTTTCACTTTCACATGTTCACATATAAAGACGAGCAATTACATATAAACAAAGGAAGAGAATGTATGGATGTCAGCTTCTTTATAATGAGGAACATAACGTTTCGGAGTATATGCTTACTTCTTCATCAGATGAATGAATGCCACGAGGCAGAGGGCATATATATGTACATGTAAGGACAACAAAAGTAATAAGATAACAAAAGGTGGAAGCTTAACATTCGAGGCCAACAGATGATTGTCGCTGATGGGTGATTAGCAATAGACAATGGAAGCCAACACTTTACAGTAGTTAGCGCTGATGGTTATGGACAACTGGAAGCCAGCCCTTGAATTATCATTGATTGGTAATGGACAGTGGGCAAACGGTAGGCTATGGGCAATTAGCACTGATTGATGAGTGTGAGTGAGTGGGGTTTAACGCCGCTTTTAACATTATTCCAGTTATATCACGGCGTGTCAGCTTAATGTGAGAGGAAAGCCCGAAGTGATGTTGGTCTCAGACGTTTACCATTTCGGTGAAACCCACGAGCACAACCTGACAAACCTAGACACATAATCGTGGCGAACCGGGATTCGAACCCACAAACATAGGTTTCTGGCGTGTCCAAGGGACGCAACTCTGCACGGCGTATCGCGGCGCCTTAGATGACTGGGCCACCGGTGCCCCCGTCTGATAGGTAAAAGAATGGAGATAGCAATAAAGGCAAAGGGAAGCCAGCTGGATAATTAACACCAACAAAGATAAAAGCAATAAGGACTAAGCGTATACTCCGAAACGTCGTGTTTCGTCATAATAAAGAAGTTGACATCCATAAATTCTCTTCCTTATGTGTATCTCTTCTAAATGCCATTCAAAGACTACATATAAACAAACATACGTACAGACACCCAGCAACAAGCAAGCATTTGTCAACACAAGCATAAACAAGCATACGTTCACAAAACCGCTGCATTCCACACATCATTCTGAGAAAGGAACCGCATTCGTGGTGTTGTGGTAACACCCGGCCGCATCACACCAAGAAAAATCTTAAAGATGGTACTTATTGTTATCTTGCCTGGTGCTTGGAGTTAAGGGGCTAAAACAAGGACTGGTCGGCTCGGGAGTCAGTATACTGTGTCTGAGTGGGGTATTCATGTTAAGCTGCGGCATGGTATTTCAGTGAGCCAGCGCTATGAAACCATCTTTATGAGGCAAGAGAGTTAACTGACTTTAAAACTCTAGTTCCTCCCTTTCCGAAGTAGGCTGGAAATTCGTGGCTCGATCGTAGCACCAGTGGCTATTACGTCTTATGTCCCTTTTCACACACACACGCACACACACACAGACACACACACGCGCGCACGCACCCGCACGCACACACATGAATGTTAACGTCGCTATATAAGTCAAATTATCTTGAACGCGACCTTGTTCTAGAATGAATGTGCACATATGATCACTCATCAAGTATACATGACCATGATCATGTTTGCATGACTACACAAAGACATCTGCACGTCTACACATGGACATCTGCACGTCTACAGATGGACATCTGCACGCCTGCACATGGACATCTGCATGTCTACACATGGATATCTGCACGTATACACATGGATATCTGCATCTCTACACATATATATCTGCACGTCTACACATGGACGTCTGCACGTCTACACATGGACGTCTGCACGTCTACACATGGACATCTACACGTCTACACATGGACATCTGCACGTCTACACATGGACATCTGCATGTATACACTTGGACATCTGCATGTCTACACATGGACATCTGCATGTCTACACATGGACATCTGCACGTCTACACATGGACATCTGCACGTCTACACATGGACATCTGCATGTATACACATGGACATCTGCATGACTACACATGGACATCTGCATGTCTACACATGGACATCTGCACGTGTACACATGGAAATCTGCATGTCTACACATGGACGCCTACACATGGATATCTGCATTTCTACACATGGACATCTGCACGTCTACACACGGACATCTGCATGTCTACACATGGCCATCTGCACGTCTACACATGAATATCTGCATGTCTACACATGGACATCTGCATGTCTACACATGGATATCTGCACGTCTACACATGGACATCTGCATGTCTACACATGGACATCTGCACGTGTACACATGGACATCTGCATGTCTACACATGGACATCTGCATGTCTACACATGGACGTCTACACATGGATATCTGCATTTCTACACATGGACATCTGCACGTCTACACACGGACATCTGCACGTCTACACATGGACATCTGCACGTCTACACATGAATATCTGCATGTCTACACATGGACATCTGCATGTATACACACGGGCATCTGCATTTCTACATATGGATATCTGCATTTCTACACATGGACATCTGCACGTCTACATATGGATATCTGCATGTCTACAGATGGACATCTGCACGTCTACACATGGACATCTGCATGTATACACATGGATATCTGCATGTCTACACATGGATATCTGCACGTCTACACATGGACATCTGCATGTATACACATGGACATCTGCATGTCTACACATGGACATCTGCATGTCTACACATGGATATCTGCATGTATACACATGGATATCTGCATGTCTACACATGGACATCTGCATGTATACACATGGATATCTGCACGTCTACACATGGACATCTGCATGTATACACATGGACATCTGCACGTCTACACATGGACATCTGCATGTATACACATGGATATCTGCATGTCTACACATGGATATCTGCACGTCTACACATGGACATCTGCATGTATACACATGGACATCTGCATGTCTACACATGGATATCTGCACGTCTACACATGGACATCTGCACGTCTACAGATGGACATCTGCATGTCTACACATGGACATCTGCACGTCTACACATGGACCTCTGCATGTCTACAGATGGACATCTGCATGTCTACAGATGGACATCTGCATGTATACACATGGACATCTGCACGTCTACACATGGACATCTGTATGTCTACAGATGGACATCTGCATGTCTACACATGGACATCTGCATGTCTACACATGGACGTCTGCACGTTTACACATGTACATCTGCATGTCTACAGATATACATCTGCACGTGTACACATGGACATCTGCATGTCTACACATAGACATCTGCATGTCTACACATGGACATCTGCATGTATACACATGGACATCTGCATGTCTACACATGGACATCTGCACGTCTACACATGGACAACTGCACGTCTACACATGGACAACTGCATGTCATCGTATCCCAATTGCGTAGATCGTTGCTCATGACGTCAATAACTGTATTGTCTGGTCCAGACTCGATTATTTACAGACCGCCTTCGTTACAACTGAAATATTGATGAGCGTGACATTAACATACAAACAAAAAGACAAACAGTATGTAAATAGTCACACGGGCGTACTAATTAACGCTGGCAATGGAACAATCTCTCCGTTTGTCTGTCTGACAGTAATAACAGCTTTGGCCTTCAGTTTAGATTTTTTTCAATACATGATCTGTACATATTTATATGAATTAAACAATAAGCATAGCATTCATTTCAATCTTGAAAATTGGCAACTGAAACATAGTGGATTAAATCGTCTGTTTTATTGTGTATGCAGTGCTGGAGACCTCAGCTACAAATTGTTAATGTGAATATGTCACGGTTATTTTTCAGTGTGGCGTGAGTGTCCTGAGAACCTGTGTTTGAACAATGGGACGTGTACTGATGATATCTTTAACTACACCTGTACCTGTCTGCCTGGCTTTACGGGGATGCTGTGTGAAGGTACGTCACTGCTGGGCGGGGTGGGGTGGTGACAGGGTATGGTGGGAGGGGGCGTGGGGCGGTGACGGGATGGTGCGAGGGGGCGTGGGACGGTGACGGGATGGTGTAGGGCGTGGGGCGGTGACGGGATGGTGTAGGGCGTGGGGCGGTGACGGGATGGTGTAGGGCGTGGGGCGGTGAAGGGATGGTGTAGGGCGTGGGACGGTGAAGGGATGGTGTAGGGCGTGGGATGGAGACAGGGGATGGTGGGAGGGGGGCATGGGGTTGAGACAGGGGATGGTGTAGGGCGTGAGGTTGAGACAGGGGATGGTGGGGGTGGTTGATGTAAGTTCAGTAGGTTACATGTGAGGCTCAGAGGGATGTTCATGAATAAATATTTTTTAGGAGATTGTTAAAGGAGGGTTCTATTTTGCTGTTTAAGTACGAATAATTGTAAATATAATGTGTCGTAGAATGTCCGAGTAAAGCCCCTAACGAATTCTTTGTTCCTGGTGTTTGTTTAATTTCAAAATGTTTGTTTTTTTTCAGAAATTCTTAACGTAACAGTTTCATCGTCAATCATTACATCAGTTACAGTGGACACGTCACTAGTAACGCTTGAAACGTCATCACTTACAGTGGACACGTCACTAGTAACGCTTGAAACGTCATCACTTACAGTGGACACGTCACTAGTAACGCTTGAAACGTCATCACTTACAGTGGACACGTCACTAGTAACGCTTGAAACGTCATCACTTACAGTGGACACGTCACTAGTAACGCTTGAAACGTCATCACTTACCATGGATACGTCGTCAGTCACGATGGAAACGTCATCAGTCCCAATGGATACGTCATCACTCACGATGTATACGTCATCACTCACGCTCGATACGTCACCAATCTTGTGGGGAACGTCATCAATAACGATACAAACGTCATCAGTCCTGTGGGATTCGTCATCGACCACGTTCAACAGTAACAGTAAGTTGTCGCCATCACCGACCTTGCTAGCTACAAGTACAACCTCCGGAAATAGCATCACAACTCACAAGGCCGACCTTGCAACAATTTCTACACCGGCAAGCATTTTAATGTCAACAGCAAACAGTCACTCAACTTCTACAGGTGTCAGTTTAACTGGAACGACGTCATTAAGCACCGTCGTCCCTCCAACAGCGGTGCCTACGGTGTGTATGTGCAGGTGTTCATTGAACGTTACAACGGAGGAAATTGAACGTTTAAAAAGGGATATCCAGTTAGCTCTATACATTGATAAAAGCGTGTTATCAAAGACAATTAGACGTTTAATAAGCGTGCCTGACCCCCGAAGATCTGCTACATCTATTGGGGCAGCTGGGATCGCAGTCATCGTTTCAACGATCGGTTTCTTCATCCTGACTGACGTTGTCCAGATGTGCAGGGATCTATTTTACGGGCCCATGCGTGGTACATGACGCCAGCAAGTGGGAAAAGAACTATTTTTTTTTAAATCAAACGAGCCTCATCTATGGGTCATGTATGACATGATATGATAAAACAAACGTAAAAAATAAGACAATGGCAAAACACATACCCAGAGAGGCAGAGAAAACACTCATATATATTTTTTCTATTGCAATATACCCTTTTCTGAAAAAAACATTGCTTTAAAACTGACCAGAATAGTATATACTGAAGAACCAAAAAGTTAGGGATCATGAATTTTGGCATTCGTGACCAACTCGTGTTATTCCGGGACAAGCCGAATAGCGACTCGTGCCCCTCTCGTGGCCATTTTAGTGACCGGGTTCCGTCTTAGCGCAAACGGGCATACCTAAAACAATTGTCAACTCGTTGTGTAATGGTTCACATATATTTCCCCATATATTATATATATTTCAGATGCAATTTAAAGCACATCGGGACATGCGGAATGATACAGTATGACTGAACACATTTGTGTCTTGGGTATATTTTTAGATGCAAGACATATGTACAATCAAAAATTATTTCTGAGGGATTCTTTGACGAAGAACTTGAAATCATACGCGCATTCTGATTGGTTTGTCGTATTTTCGCACATAACATTCATCGATAGGGGGACGAGTCTTCTTGCAGGTTACGGAAAGGGGCGAGTGGTGACGAATGGAAATTTGGGGGAATATTTCTATGAAATTGTGTGCTCGGTTTGCACTACAAAAAATGTACCCAAAATATATTCATAATCCGTAAATATTTTAAATATTTATGAAATGTGCATCTCAAATAATCGATCATTTGTTTTCTCAAGATGACAGGTTATTTTTTTTTATGTTATGTACATTGAATACTTAAGAATTAGTACTTTGTTGTTGTATTGTTGTTGTTTTAGTTTTTGGTTTTGTTTTGCTTTTTGCTTTTTTTGGTTTGTTGGTCTGTCTGGTTTGTTGCTGTTTTTTGTAGTCTTTTGGTGTTTGTTTTGTTTTAGGTTTTGGGTATTTTGGTTGTTTTTTGTTTTGTTTTTGTTTGTTTTTTGTTGGTTTGTTTTTTGTTGGTTTGTTGGTTTTATTTTTTTTTATGTTATTTTATTTTAGGGGGTAGGCGTTAACATTTAAATCGGTGTGCACACTGTGTAAATCCGCGTCGTTTGCACACCGTTTTTTTTCGGTTATAACTCTGTAAAAAAGGCACCAACATATTGAAGTCAATTCTCCTGAATAAATACGTCAACAATAATAACTTCCAAGACTGCTTATTTTATGATAACAGTTGAACACACAAACAACTGTAAACAACAGGGAGCAATCAGTGACATCGTCCACCAGCCCCGCCCATTCTGTCATCAGTCAGTCAGGACAAGGCTGTCCAAATTGTATTTCGGTTTATGGAAAGAAATGCTTGGCTGGCAATCAAATGCCACGACATAGCCTACAAATTATTCATAACTCTCTTACACAATAACCGTTAACGTATACATATATTCTACCATGCTTTAGATTATTTTTATACATATATTTCCTTTACTTTGTTCCTACCTATGCCTGGGGGCACGGGTGGCCCAGTCGTCTAAGGCGCCGCGATTCGCTGTGCAGAGTTGCGTCCCTTGGGCACGCCAGAAACCTATGATTGTGGGTTCGAATCCCGGTTCGATCCGATTAGGTTTCTAGGTTTGTCAGCACAATACCCGTGCTCGTGGGTTTCACCGAAGTGGTAAACGTCTGAGACCTGCATCACTTCTGGCTGTCCTCTCACATTAAGGTGACACGCCGTGATATAACTGGAATACTGTTAAAGGTGGCGTTAAACCCAACTCACTCACTCACTCACTCCTACCCATCCAATGTGCCTTCGCATAGCTCATATTACCTTGTCCACCTTTCATAACCACTTACCTCCATGTTCCGTACACTTCCTTGAACCTTCTTAAACCGGAACGCTATAATTGACTATTGCTCAAAGCGGTGTAAAATCAAACTAACTCACTCGCCTTCGTATGTGGGGATTTGGGGTTAGAACTAATTTCCCATAGTCTATGCTTAGTTGTAAAAGGATATTCGTGGATCGGGTGGTCTTTGGCCCCGTTCCAAAAAAATCATCTTAGCGCAGAGGTGATCGTAACTCCCATACTTTAACACTGGCTTAGACCGCCTCCGTGGTCTTGTGGTAGAGCGTCCGCCCGGAGAGCGGAAGGTCCAGGGTTCGATCCCGGGCCGCGTCACACAAAAAGACGTTAAAAGATTGTACTTGTTGTTACCCTGTCTGGCGCTCGGCATTAAGGGGCTAAAACAAGGACTGGTCGGCTCGGAGTCAGTATACTGTGTCTGAGTGGGGTATTCATGTTAAACTGCGGCATGGTATCTCAGTGAACTAGCACTATAAATCAGCATCAGTCCGGACTAGTACAAGCAGCCACACACATACACGTACATGCACGTTGCTATAGAAGTGCAATAATCTTGGACGCGACGTTAAACCCAATTCCACCTCACCTAACACTGGCTTACGATAGTCGTAGCGCTAGGATCGCTTTGCGGAACGGCGCCAAGTGTGTTAGTAGATTGCGTGTTATCGTACCCCGAAGGCGTGAATCGTTGCTCATACTATTAACCTCTGGTTTATCTGACCCAGACTCGATTAGCTGCTGGTCACCGTTCTACAGCTGGAATATTGCTGAGTGCTGCGTTAAACATCTAAGAAATAAAGAAGACGTTTGAATATCGGAAGACTGAACGTTACCCTGACGCGTGTGTTGTTCAGCGTTCTGCATTCGGTGGTGGGAGTGTTTGTTTGTTTGTTTGTTGTTTAACGAGGCACTCAGCAATATTCCAGCTATATGACGGCGGTCTGTAAAATAATCGAGTCTGGACCAGACAATCCAGTGGTCGACATCATGATCATCGATCCACGCAATTGGGATACGATGACATGTATCAACAAAGTCAGCGGGCCTGACCACCCTATCCCGTTAGTCGCCTTTTACGACAAGCATAGTCGCCTTTTACGACAAACATAGTCGTGCCTTTGACGACAAGCATAGTCGCCTTTTACGACAAGCATAGTCGCCTTTTACGGCAAGCATGGATTGGTGGGTGTGTAATGGTGCGGGGAGGTATCATTGTACGTCATAGACAACTCCTATTGATCATCGCTAGCAGTTTGACAGATGTTCGGTACGGTCACGAAGTTAACCGTCGTCACGTCCTCCTGTTCCTTGAGAAGATCGATGCTCATGACATCAATCAATGGATTGTCTGTTCCAGACTCGATTATTTACAGACCGCCGGTCCAGAGGATCCGCTCTTGAACTTCCTGCATTCTGATGCAAATTACCCTGCTACACGAATTCATACAGTTTAAGACCCGTGAAGATTCCGGGGTAGAATAGATCTTCAGCAACCCATGCTTGCCGTAAAAGGTGACTATGCTTGTCGTAAAAGGCGACTAACGGGATCGGGTGGTCAGGCTCGCTGACTTGGTTGATGCATGTCATCGATCCCAATTGCGTGGATCGATGCTCATGACATTAATCACTGGATTGTCTGGTCCAGACTCGATTATTTACAGACCGCCGTCATACAGCTGGAATATTGCCGAGTGCGGCGTTAAACAACAAACCAACCAACCAACCAACCAACCAACCAATCATACAGTTTAAACACCAGTCTTTCATGAACCAAACAAAATGCACGGTCAATCCTTGCGTGAACTGACAGTTGACGTCAACAGAGGACACTGACTTCATGCTTCATGGACATCAATATTTTTTTCTGTTCCAAAGCGGTTCAATTCTTTGTTTGCGTCTATACATTATTCCCCATGACAGTCCGAGGTAAACAGGAACCTTCCCCGCCAGTGTGGTTTTCATTTGTAATTTTAATCAAATATTGTTAATTAGACAAACGCCAGTCAGCGTGCTGTCTCGGGCGAGTCCGCTCTACAAAGGTTGGTTCAATATTTCACAGTTCTAGTGCCGAACACCAATACATCAGAGGCCAGAAATTCAATAGTTTTCCGGGCGAGGGCCCAGCAGGGCTGAAACATCAAGTTCAGACACTGTGAGATTTTAATGATGTTCTTCATACAATGCCAACAACCATGAATGTTTTAACTAGGATAAATGTAGGTTATTTCAAAATGCCAAGAATGATGCTGATTTGACAACCACGAATCATCAATCTCATCGACCGCACCTTTTGGTCTTTTTTATATTTTTTATGGGTTCTTTTTTTTCATATTTGCGTTCAATATCTTTCAATAAGTAGCAGGTCTTTTTTCCATGGTGATGGTTAGATGATTTGGGTCATTTTTAATTAACGCTGATAGTGTTCTAACACGGTTAATTGCGCTGTACAGGTGAGGTGAGGTGAGGTGAGGTGAGGTGAGGTGAGGTGAGGTGAGGTGAAATGGGGTTTAACGTCGCGTCCAAGATTATTGCACTTATATAGCAACGTGCATGTACGTGTGTGTGTGTGTGTGTGTGTGGCTGCTTGTACTAGTCCGGACCGATGCCGATTTATACTGCTAGCTCACTGAGATACCATGCCGCAGTTTAACATGAATATCCCACTCAGACACAGTGTACTGACTCCGAGCCGACCAGTCCTTGTTTTAGCCCCTTAATGCCGAGCGCCAGACAGGGTAAAAAGCGCTGTACAGAGTTATGTCGCTCAAATGTAAAGGGCGGGGTCCTCACCTTCACCCCCTTCCATCAATCTGAGACTAACCAGTGCATTACATATCCGCAATTACCCACGCGCCTAGTTATAACTGAACTCCTATTCACACACCTAGGTATAACTGATCCGATATTCACACAGCTAGGTATAACTGAACCGATGTTCACACACCTAGATATCACTGAACTGATATTCACACAGCTTGGTATAACTGAACTGTCCACGAACCTAGATATAACTGATCCGATATTCACACACCTAGATATAACTGAACTGATGTTCACACACCTAGATAAAGCTGAACTGATATTCACACACCTAGATATAACTGATCCGATATTCACGCACCTAGATATAGCTGAACTGATATTCACACACCTAGATATAACCGAACCGATATTCACACACCTAGATATAACGGATCCGATATTCACACACCTAGATATGACTGATCCGATATTCACACACCTAGATATAACGGATCCGATATTCACACACCTAGATATAACTGAACTGATGTTCACACCCCTAGATAAAGTTGAACCGATATTCACACACCTAGATATAACTGAACTGATGTTCACACACCTAGATAAAGCTGAACTCATATTCACACACCTAGATATAACGGATCCGATATTCACACACCTAGATATAACTGATCCGTTATT